CCCTGTATGAGAGTAAATGACTTGCCCAAGGTCATACAGTCCCTCAATGATAGAAGTCAGGACTTCAACCCAGGTTTTTTGAGTCTAAGTTCACGGCTCCTTCCCCAGTAATGCCTTTCTGCCTAGGAGAAAGGCAATTATTGGGTTTTTGGTTTTTCCCCCCTCCATTGGAGAAGAGAAAGAGGGAGAAGATGCATAAAAGAGGAGAAATCCAAGAGGGATAACCCTGATTGCCAAGAAAAAGAAGTAGTCTTTGTGGTATTAATAACAGTCGGTGATCAGCCTCCTCTGCTTGAACACCTGCAGATCCCTCCTCCTGAAGTAATGGTACCTTGTCCCTCTCTCATGGTCTGCATCCCATTCTATTGCTGTGATAGTTATTGTGTCTGTATCTTATTTATCTCTGTATTTCCCAGCATCCAGCATAGGGTTTTGTACATAGCTGGTACTCAATAAATATTTATTGAATGAATGAATGAATGAATGAATGAATGAACTTATCTTTAGGTATATCTACATACCCTTTGCTTCTGGGGGAGTTCTTCTAATCCAGACATCATCATTGCTATCATTTATATGGCTCCTTAAGGTTCGGAAAGTGCTCTGCAAATATTATCTCATTTGATTCTCACAACAACAAAGGAGTTAGGTGCTATTATTATCCTCATTTTACAGATTAGGCAGCTGAGGTAGACAAAGGTTATGTGATTTGTCCAGGGTCACACGGCTAGTAAGTACCTAAGGACCTATTTGAACTCAAGTCTTCTTGACTCCTGGCCCAATGCTGAATCTACAAAGCTACCCAGCTGCTTCTGGATTGCTTCTAATTCCACTGTCACTGTCCCTGGCATAGGTCAAATCTATCTTCTAGGGGCAGCTAGGTGGTACAGTGGATAGAGGACTGGCCCTGGAGTCAGGAGGACCTGAGCTCAAATCTGGCCTCAGACATATAACACTTACTAGTTATGTGATCCTGGGCAAGTCACTTAGCCCCATTGCCTAGCCAACAACAACAACAAAATCTATGTTTCAGGGTTCCCTAAACATCAGTGGTCTCAGCTTTAGTGAGAACTGGACATTGCCCCCACATTTTAGGCCTTGAGGAACTGGGATAGGCAGTCATTTCCAGGCAGGCTCCAGTAACCGTGTGGCTGGAAGAAGGGGTTCCTCAGAGTAGCCTTTGAACAATACCTCAGTTTTAGAGTGTCCAGACTCTACCTATGTTGGTAATCAGACAACAGGTCTCTGGGGAGGAGGATCTGAATGGTAATTCTGTTGCTAGCTACCCCTCCCCTTCCCAGATTGGCAGTAGGAAGGTTGCGCCAGCCAAAAATATTTGTGTGGGTGGAGGAAAGTTAACTTTATTTTTCCGCCTTTTTCTCCTTTCCTGGAAACCAGGGTCATGTCAAATGCAGCAACACAGAAGCAGGAATAGAAGGGAAGCCGCGCACAGGGAGAAAGGGAGGGAAAAAGGGAACGAGGAGCAATCCCCTTCTCCTGGGCCCCTCTTTCTCCACCTCCTCGGGCCAGACTGAAGATGAAGCCAGGCTAGGAAGGATTATTTGGACTCTTTGGGTTGAAATTGAGGAGGGAGCAGCCCTGGCCTGGTTGGAGCCCTTAGATCTCTGACCTTCCCCACCCCCTAAACTGGCTTGGTCATTTGAAAAGCATGAGATTTGGAATCAAAGGACCCAGATTCAAATCTTTTTTCTATACATTTACTATGTTTATGACCTTGAATGAGTCACTTCTGTTTCCTAGGCTTCAGTTTCTCAAACTGTAAAATGAGAGAATTGGTACAGGTGATTTCTAAAATCCCTTCTCAGCTTTAAACCTGTGATTCCAAAAGGTTCTGATTTTGCAGAAGAAAAAAACGGAGAGCAGATTCAAAGAATCAGAGGTAGAAGGGAGCTTAGAGGTCTTTCCAGTTCAACCTCCCTGCCCCATTTTGTAGGTGAGAAAATGGCCCACCAGAGAGGATCATAGGCTGGGTTGCCATTAAATCTGGACCACAGGATCATTGGCCTGGAGCTGGAAAGAGACTAGTCCTAGCCTTCATTGTACAGCTGAGGAAAAAGAGAACCAGAAAAGTAAAATGATTCATCCTAGGTCACACAGAGAGAAGGTTACAGATTTGGAATTCTAATCTTGTTTCCTCGCCACCAAATCCTGCGCTCTTTCCTATAACCAGTGTAGGAATTCTCTAGGTATGGCCCTACCAGAGGTTCTTATACTTTCTGTATCACTCTCTAAATCGTATATTTTGTAGAGCTGACCTCTTGAAAGCCCATTTCTAGCTGGGTCTGTGACAGGAGAAGGGCGGGGCCTGAATGAGCTTGTGAGGCAATGAAGGATGCCTTCAGGAGAATGGGCACGCAGCAGAGCTGGCTAGGGGAACTAGCTGGCATCATTAACATCATTAAAGCAAGAGTGCTGATCAACTTCAACAGAAGGCATGGATGGGCTACCAGAGAGCGAGAAAAAGAGAGCAGGGGGAAGATTTGGGCTGAAGCCCCAGTCCTTGTGGTGACACCCGCTTTCACCACCCTTCCCAGGTTCTAGTTTCTTAATTTCACCAGCTGTCAATACTCCATCCATTAAGGCTAGTCACCCGTGGGATTCACACATGGGCCCTTCTGCAGCTGGCCTGGGCTTCCCGCAGGGATCAGATTTACTCTTATCTTCCTGGACTGGTTACAAGAATCTCTCTAGGTCAGAGAACAGCTCGTCTCAGAAACCAAGGCCACGTCCCTAGCCCACCCCAAACCCTGGCCTTGGTAGTTAAAAGAACTGATCTCCAGTCACAGACATGGAAAGGATAAAGGTAGAGGTGGACACCCACTTAGACATTAATTTCCACTGCCTTCTTGCCCTTTCCAACTCCAGTCCTGGTACCCCACCCACCCTTGGTCACAATTTTATTTTGTTGATAAATTTTCAACATTGCTTACAAATCTGGTCTCAGGGTGACCCTGGGCATGTCACTTAATCGCTGTCTACCTCAGTTTCCTCTTCTGTAAAATGGGATAAGAGTACCTACCTCCCAGGGTCGTCGTGAGGATTGAATGGGAGAATATTTGTAGAGTGCTTCTTTCACAGTACCTGGCACATAGGAGGTACTATATAAATGTTAGCTCTTATTATTATCATTATTAATAAGATACTGTTTACAAAGTATGTCATGTGCAGTGCCTGGCACGTAGTGAGAGCTCTATTATTTTTATCCCACCAAAGGCACCATTAAATGCCCGACAAAGTACAGTCCCTGAAAAGTTAAGCAAAACTACGCTGTGACGGTTTTACATCTTAGCTGGGTCTTATACCAAGTTTTTTGTGAACATTTTCCCTTTCAATTGCTTTTTGCTGTTTCATGAAATGATACTACTTGTGATCTTTTGTCCTCTACCTCTACAGAGTTTAGGAAGAGTCATGGACAGGAATAGACATGTAAGGAAGGAAGGGTTAGAGCAGGGGAATCTTAGCCTGGGGTCACTTTGGCAAGGACACCGAGTGCTTGAAGGGGAGTCCTGTGAAGTAAGTCTAGAAAGGTAGGCCTTGCCAGAAGTACTTCAGATATCAAACTAAGTAGCTTGTATTTTATTCTGGAGACAGGGAGCCATTAATGATTCTCAGAGCAAGGGAGTGATATGGTTAAACCTGTGCTTTAGCTCAAGGTCTTTAACTGAGTTTCTTCCTCTTAAGAGCTTTGGTCATTTCAATCTTTTTTCCATGAATTTCTCCTATCATTCACTTCTTGACTCCTTGCCCTTTGGTGGCTCGTACCTCAAGGGCTGGATACCGACCAATTCATACTTTATTGGCCTTGATCTCTGACCTAAGTGGCTTCTGTTGGAACAGAACTGTCCACATCTGGATACCAGTACCCTTTGTTTCAAGCCTGGTGGAGCCAAATGCATGCTAATAATTCTGCCTCAAAAAACCTATCCTTCAGGAAGATTATTTTGGTAGCTAAGTGGAAGATGACTTGGAGAGCTGAGAAAGAGGAAAAAGTTAGGTAGCTAGTATGATATCCCAAGAGAAGTTGATAAGGCCCTGAACCTATGAGATAGCTATGTGAGTGCAGAGAGAGTGGAAGAAAGAGATGCTGTGGGACAGATGTGTTTTTTTTAATTTTTAAATTTTTAAAAAATTTTATTAATTTATTTTGATTTATCAGCAATCACTTCCATATGCTTTTGAGTTTAAAATTTTTCTCCTCCTTCCTCCCCACCACCCTCCCCAAGATGGCTCACAATCTGATATAGGCTATACATTTACATTCCTATTTAACATATTTTCGCATTAATGATGTTGTAAGTAAAAATTAAAACCAATAGGAGGAACCATCAGAAAGAAGAAACAAAACTCAACAAACAGAAGAGAAAAAAAAAAGATAGCAATTTAACTTCCGTAGTTCTTTCTTTGGATGCGGATAGTATTGTCCATCATGAGGCCTCTGGAGATGTCTTAGATCCTCGTATTGCTGAGAAGGGTTAAGTTTATCAATATTAGTCATTGCACAACATGGCTGTTATTGTGTACAATGTTCTCTTGGTTCTGGAGCAGATGTTCTTAACTTGGAGTCCACAGACTACTAAAAGGGTCTGTGGATAGATTTTTGTGGGATCTGTGAAATCTGATGGGAAACAATATAGCATTTGCTCCCATTATTTAAAACATTATTCTGAGAGAGGCATCACCAGACTGCCAAAGGCATTGAAGACACACAAAAGACTAAGATCTCTTGGTTTACAGGCCGATTCTTTGAAAGAATCTGGGCCTATTTCAGCAGACTTGGAGTGGGAGTTAGGAAACCTGACTTCTAGTTCTGGTCCTGCCACTAATTAGAACAAGGACCTTACATGAACTTGGTCAAGTTCTCCTTCCCTAAGTCTCAATTTTCCCATCCACAAAATGATGGGATTGTATTAAGGTCCTTTCCAGCTGTAAGAATCTTTGTCCTTTGCTAATACCCGACATTTTTTTCTTTTTTTTTCCAGTACAGGTGAATTCGTTTTGAAGCCAGTACTCAAAGACGTGAGACATCAGCAGGAAAGGAGGGCCAGAACAGCCTACCTCTGAGTAATCCAAACCCTGTCTCTGGCCCTGACCCTGCCAGTGTTCACCTCCAGCTCGGAGGAGTCCACAGGGCAGGGAGTACCCTACAGTGAAGTGAAGTGACTTCCTATCTATCTTAGAGGTTGTGATTAGATACTGTCCAGGCCTGAGACTGGGTCCCACTCCTAGGGACAAACATAGGCTGCCCAAGGACCCAGAGAGGATACTCCCTCAGGTGAAGAATCCCAAACCAGCTTTCCCAGAGGAGTAAAAAGAGAACATACTATGTTTGGCACTCAGCTGTTCCAGCCTCAGCCCTCAGGGACCAGGCCTACTGAAGGAAGATCTCACTCTGGTGACTTTGAGCTTCCTGAGGAAGGCTACAACTGTCCAGCCATGGAGTCCAAAGAGGACAGCTTGAGCACGTTTGAAGGTCCAGGACAGTCCAGTCTTTTGGACCTGGAAGAGAAAGAAGAAAAAGTCTTGGACAATGTACCCTGTGGAATGAGGGAAGAGGGGTCCCAGCCATCAAGTCCGCTTCTAACTCATTCGGTCAGTGGTCCTAGGCAACCGCCTGGGAGGTCTCATGAGACATGTGGCACCAGCCAGGACTGGAAAGTAGCCAGAGTGCAGGCTGTCCCGGTTTCCAGCCCCAGCTCAGCCCAGAAACCAG